ATGGAGACAGAGAGGTCCAGGAAGGGGAGAGAGGTGTTAGAGATGGTCCAGGTAAACTTAAGGTTGGGGTGGAAGGTGCTAGTGAAGTAGATGAACTGTTCGAGCTCCTCGTGGGAGCACGAGGCGGCGCCGATCCAGTCGTCAATGTAACAGAGGAAGAGGTGGGGTTTAGGGCCGGTTTAGGTACGGAAGAGGGATTGTTCCACGTAACCTGCAAAGAGGCAGGCATAGCTTGGGCCCATGCGGGTACCCATGGCTTCCCCCTTTGTCAGTAGGAAGTGGGAGGAATTGAAAGAGAAGTTGTTGAGGGTGAGGACGAGTTCGGCTAAGTGGATGAGGGTGTCAGTGGAGGGGGACTGGTCGGGCCTGCGGGACAGGAAGAAGGGGAGGGCCTTTAGGCCAAGGGCATGGGGAATGCAGGTGTATAGGGACTGGACGTCCATGGTAAAGATGAGGTGTTGGGGACCGGGGAATTGGAAGTTCTGGAGGAGGTGGAGGGCGTGGGTGGTGTCACGGACATAGGTAGGGAGTTCTTGGACCAAGGGAGAGAAAATGGAGTCCAGATAGTTGGAGATCAGTTCGGTGGGGCAGGAGCAGGCGGAGACAATGGGTTGACCAGGGCATTCAGGTTTGTGGATTTTGGGAAGGAGATAGAAGCGGGCAGTGCGAGGTTGGGGAACGATGAGGTTGGAGGCCGTGGGTGGGAGGTCACCTAAGGTGATGAGGTTGTGGATGGTTTGGGAGATGATGGTTTGGTGCTCAGGGGTGGGGTCATGATCAAGGGGGCGGTAGGAGGAGGTGTCGGAGAGTTGGCGTCTGGCCTTGGCGATGTAGAGGTCAGTGCGCCATACTACAACTGCGCCTCCCTTGTCCGTGGGTTTTATGGTGAGGTTGGGATTGGAGCGGAGGGAGCGGAGGGCTGCACGTTCTGCGGGGGAGAGGTTGGAGTGGGTGAGAGGGGTGGACAGGTTGAGGCGATTAGTGTCTCTGCGGCAGTTGGAGATGAAGAGGTCGAGGGAGGGTAGGAGGCCTTGGGGTGGTGTCCAGGAGGACGGGGTGTGTTGGAAGTGGGAGAAGGGGTCAGTAGAGGGAGGGTTAGGTTCACGGTTGAAGAAGTAAGCGTGGAGGCGGAGGCGGCGGAAAAACTGCTCTATGTCCAAGCGTGAGCGGTATTCGTTGATCTGTGGGTGGAGGGGGACAAAGGTGAGCTGTTTACTGAGGACTGACCATTCCATTGACTCCGTCTACACTTCCTGCTACAGCAGGAAAGCAGCCAACATCAAAGATCCCTCCCACTCTCTTCCATCAAGCAGAAGATACAAAAGTTTGAAAGCACATACCAACAGATTCAAGAACAGCTTCTTCCTCACTGTTATCAGACTCATGAATGGACCTCTCATATGTTAGAGTTGATCTTTCTCTGCACCTTCTCTGTAGCTGTAAAACTATATTCTGCATTCTGTTGAATTACCCTGACGTACTTATGTAAAGTATGGTTTGTCTGGTTAGCACGCAACACTTTTCACTGTATCTTGGTACATGTGACAATAACAAATCAAACCAATTCAAAACCATAAACTATCATACAATAATTAGAGTGAAAGCAGATGGCTAACACAAGATACGTAACCCAGGTATATCACCTCTCTAGACCCTGAGAAGGTATTCCCTGCCAAGATCACTTTAAAAATGAAAGTGGGACAGTACCTGCATTCCAATCGTCGTTTCAGGGCAGGAGCTCTTAATCCTTTCATATGATCTGGAAAAAAGATAGAAATTGGTGATTCAGCAATTCTTTACAAAATTGTAGGCTGTCGCTCTTCTATTCGAACTGAAGTAATTTTAGGCATGTGATCAGCATTAATAGAATCCTTTGACTAAAACCAATGTGCAATTTGCCTTGATTTTCTCTGTCTTACACGCACTTCAGAAACCTAAAAAAGACAGTATTTAAATGTTTCTACCAGGTTGTAATTCATCACTGCTGTGCAATAAGAATGTTTCAATATAGATGGGATCTGCTTATGCATCACATGTTAGAGCATCAGAAACAGAATTTCATCCAGGGTAGTAAGTGTCAAAGCCTGTCCATCACCTACAAGGCACAAATCAAGAACGTGATGGAATTCTCCCTACTTGCCTCGACAATTGCAACACGTTTGACACCATTCAGGACAAAGGTGCCCACTGATTGGCAGCACATCCACCTTCAACATTCATTCCCTTCACCTCCAAAACAGAGTAACACTAATGTGTACCAACTACAAGATGCACTGCAGCAATTCACCAAGGCTCCTTTGAAAGCACTTTCCAAACCCATAACCATTACCACCTAAAATCCATCTCAACCATCTCAAAAAGCACCAGGTGCATGGAAACACCAACATCTGAAAGTTCTCCTCCGAGCCACATACCCTGCCAACTTTGATCAATATTACTGTTCCTTCATAGTTGTTGGGTCAAAGCTCTTGAACTCCCTTCCTAACTCACCACCATACTGAAAACCAGAACAGACTGAAACAAAAAATAAGCCTGCAGATGCTGAAAATCTGAAATAAAAACAAAAAAAAAACAAAATGGCTGGAGAAACTCAGTAGGTCAGGCAGCATCTCTGGAGTGAAATAAGTGTTAGCGTTTTAGGTCAATAACTTTTCAGTTGATGAAAAGGAAGAGATTTAAGTGTTTTTTAATGAAATGGGCAGAAGATCTGGGCAAAGCTCTATGATAGGGAGGCTGCCAAACAGCACTCTTGGTCAGTTCAATTCAAATCCAAAGACAACCCGGGAGCAGGCCTCAGCAATTCCAAGTCCAATCCATTAACACACAATTATTAATTAGCAAACCCAAATCCTTAGAGGCAAGCAATCACCTCCTGATTTGCTGAGTTTAAAGTGATTAGCCAGTCTGCAGAGGTGAAATTCCTCTGGAACGTGCAACATTGTTTGGGTCCACAGCTACATATATGGGCATGTACTCAGGCACCTCAGATCAAGATTAAACCTGTTAAACAGACCACCCTCATTGTGGATGCTCATATGCTTGCCAATCAATTAGTGTATTTTTTAAAAAAATCATGGAATAAGGGCATCACTGACGAGGCTGCATTTATTGCCTATTCCTAATTGCCTGGGGAGCAGTTAAGAGTCAACCACATTGCTGTGGGTCTGGAGTCACATGTAGGCCAGACCAAGTAACAGCAGCAGATTTCCTTCCTTAAGAGACATTAGTGATTTAGATGTGTTTTTACAACAAACAATACCATGGTCAATATTAGGCTAGCTTTTTATTGACTTCTGCCATGATGGGATTCAAAAATCAAATATCATCCAGGGTTCTGGATTATGAACAAAACCCAACTACTGGAGAAACTCAGCAGGTCAGGCTACATCTCTAGACAGAGAAAGAGGGTTAACATTTTAAATCCAGTGACCCTTTGAAGGACATTGAACAAAATGTTAACTTTCTTTCGCTCTCCACAGATGCTGCCAGACCTGCCGAGTTTCTCCAGCACTTTGTTTTTACTTCAGATTTCCAGCATCCAAAGTTTGTGTTTATTTTATTGTTCTGGAATACTAATCCAGTGACACTACCATTACACAGAAAGCTAGAATATAGCAGTAGCAAAGTAATCAGGAAGCTAACGGAATGTCAGCTTTTATTTCAAGGTAAGAATAAGGGAGTCTTACTGGGACTGTACATGATGCTGGAAAGACCACATTTGTAGTAGTGAGAGCAGTTTTGGTCCTTATATTTTGGGGTAAGATATCATTTAATTGGAGGCAGTTCAGAGAATGTTCACCAGGATGATCTCTGGTATGGAGGGACTGTCTTATAAGCAGGAGGTTAAACAACTGGGACTCTACTCACGAGAGTTTAGAAGAACGAGAGGTGATCTTTTTGAAACATATAGGATTCTTAAGGGGATTGATAGTGTAAATGTTCAGAGGATATTCCTCCTCACAGGAGAGCCTGGGGCAAGAGGGCTGTCACAAGTTTAAGATTGAGTGAAGGTGGAATTTCTTAGAGGGTTGAGAATCTTTGGAATTCCAAAGTTTTTTTACACAGAGGGTGGTGGGTGCCTGGAACTCGCTGCCAGGGGAGTAGTGGAAGCAGATGCTATAGCGACTTTTAAAGGGCATCTTGACAAATATATGAATAGGATGGGAATAGAGGGATATGGTCCCCAGAAGGGTAGGGGGTATTAGTTGTGATGGGCAGCATATCGGTGCGGGCTTGGAGGGCCGAAGGGGCTGTTCCTATGCTGTAATTTTCTTTGTTCTTTGCTCCTGAAGAGTGTGAGATCAGCTATGTCATTATTAAATAGTAGAGCTGGTTCAAGGGGCAGAATGGCCTTGTAACCAGGAACCGGTTAGTGCTAATTCACCAGCATTCACATCCAGCCCCCAGGGATGTATTTTTAGCTCCTGCAGTTTTTAAACCTACTTTTTCTGGCCTTCAGGCGTCTGCATCATTTGGATAGAGTATATCAGGGGAATTAGAAACACTACAAAACGAAGCAAATGATCCTGCCAGCAGACTGAATTCAGAAAGGAACTGATACGAGTCGGAAAGAGGGACCCTGCGGAATCCCAGTCCCAACACTGAATCTCCAACTTGCCAGTGTGACCTCTCCCCATACCCCAAGCCAAACTTCATCATTGGATTGTGACAGGAACCAGCCCTGTCTCAATGCCCGGACTCTCAGTGGGAAAGGGAGGTCAACCCTGGCAGTATGTGAGGGCTGCGAAACAGAACCACACACACACACACACAACGATGTGTGGCTGATTTCTCGAGTCAGCTCTGTCACTCCCTGAGCGAACTGCCCTTTGCAACAAAATAAAGAACTGCAGGAGCAGGAGATGAGAAACACAGAAATTACTGGAGAAACTTAGCAGATCTGGCAGCATCCCTGGAGAGAGAAACAGAGTGAATGTTTCGAGGCTAGTGACTCTTTTTCAAAACAGTATGTATGGTTCAGCAATTACTCACTGGCCTCCTGCCTCCTTCCTCCTTCCCCCAACCCCCGAATCCGTTTCAAAGAGGACTCTCCCACCTTTATGACAGTGCGACAAGAAATAAGCCTTAGCCAGCAGATTGTCTCTGTCAAATCTATCGATGGAGACGTTGGGGTATTCATGCATGCGGCCCTGGAACGAACTCATTGCTGCTTCTTGTCGGCAACACAGCGTCCCCCCGCAAGTGGTTACAATCCGCCGGCTCCGATCGATACATCGCGGGACCAATCAGAGAAGCCCATGAGGGTGTGGGGGGACGGACCACGCTGCCGACGATCCCGGAAGATCAGGAAAATCCGGCACCGTCCAGTGTTGAGGATTTCCTGGTGTCAGGGAGAAAGAGAAAGAGGGTTGGGGCTGCATGTTTGACTGAGGGGGATGAAATTCCTCTGTGTGTAATTCTACCATAATGTACCCCGGCGCTCAGTAACCCCTCGTGACTCTTATTGGACTTTTAGAAATTATTTTTAATTTGGCATTTTGTTGCTAAAGCAATAGAGTGTAAAAGTAGGGAAGTGTTGCTGTAACTGTACAAGGCATTAGTGAGACTGCACCCGGAATATTGCCTACAATTTTGGTTCTCTTACTTATGGAGGGAGTGTAGTTGTATTAGAGGCAGTTCAGAGGAGGTTCACTAGATTGATTCCAGAGGTGAGAGTTTTGACTTATGAAAGAGTTTGATCAGTTTAGGCCTATATTTTTTGGAGTGTAGAGTGACAGGAGAACTAATTGAGGTGCATATAAGAAAACTAAAGGAAACATAGGAGCAGCAGTAGGCCATTCTGAGCCTGTTCCTCCATTCAGTTAGATCATGGTTGATCTGTGGCCTAACTTCGTATACCTACTTTTGGCCCATATTCCTTAATACCTTTGCTTAACAAAAATTTATCAATCTCAGATTTAAAATTAACAACTGATTCAGCATCTACTGTCATTTGTGGAAGAGAGTTCCAAACCTCACCCACCCTTTGTGTGCGGAAATGCTTTCTAACATCTCTCCTGAACAGTCTGGCTCTAATTCTCAGACTGTGCCCCCTAGTTCTAGAATCTCCACCCTGTGGAAATAGGTTATCTTCATCTCCCCTGTTTTTTCTTGTTAACATCTTGAAGACTTTGAAACAATTACCCCTTAACCTTATAAATTCTAGAGAAAATGGGCCTAATTTGAATAATCTTTCCTCATAATTTAACCTCCGAAACCCAGGTATCATTCTTGTAAACCCACATTGTATTCTCTCCAAGGCCAATATATCATACCTAAGGTGTGCCCGGATCTGCTCACAGGGTTTGACAAAGCAGTTGTAGGAAAAATGTTTCCTTATGGGGCAATCCAAAATGGGAGGTCATAATTTTTGGATAAGGAATTACTTCTCTCCAGAGGTCATTATTCTGTGGATTCGCTACCCCAAAGTATGGTGGATGCTGGGATTTTGAGTAAATTTAAGGAGGAAACAGATTTTTAATTAGTATGGATTGAAAGGCTATAGAGTGCGGGCAAGAAAGTGGAGTTGAGGCCAAGATGAGATCAGCCATGGTTGTATTAAATGGCAGAGCAGGCTTAAGCAGCTGATTGGCCTACTCCTGCTTTTAGTTATGTTCTTACGGTTATATTTGGGAAATGTTGCCATTTTGCATTTAGATGGGGGCATCTGGGTGCAATGTTCATATGAAAAACATGATTTTAAATCACATTTTCTGTTGCAAATGGAAGAAATGCTGGCTAGGAGCTGAACGATCAGGGTGTTGAGATTATCATTTTGCTCACACCTTTGAGAAACACAGCCAATTAAAACAAAAACAGCCTGCACAAAGCATTCTTCTCAAAGGAAGGTTGAACTTTCTTGGGCCCCTACATTTCGGTTCTTTTTATTTGCCCCATCATCTGTTTTCTCATGAGATTCCCAGCATCCAGTACTTTCCCCTTCTTCTTTGTGCCTTCATCGTATTGAATGTCTCATATTTTTCTCTCTCTCTCTCTCTTCAGGAAATGTTGGATCATTCAGATGCACAGCTTGCAAGGAGGCTGCATGGCCCATTTTGTCTTTGCTAGCTAGAATTGGGTTAATTCAGCCTTCCCTCTCCAGCTGTCCATAGCCCTGTGGGTTTCAGAACCACGGGTTTATATCCAATTTTTTTTTTACCATTTAATCTGCCACCTTGTACAGGGCAATTATCAATGGGTAATTTGTTCTTTTTGATGCTGTATTTGTGTGAGCAGCTGTTGCTTTTTCTTCATCCATGTGTGTGCATATCACTGGCGAGACATGCATTTAATGTTCCCCACTGGACTTCCCTTGAAAAGGTAGTGGTAAGCTGGTTTTTGAATGGCTGCAATCCATCTGTGAGCATTGTGTTTGCTAATGCTACAAGTACAGAGAGCCCATTCCCCAGTGAGGTCACTAACAATGACATAGCAGACAACTGCCTGTATCAAAGCTGGAAAGAGCTAAACCAAGAGCGAAAAGAACACACAATACTATCTTGTTACAGAGGTAGTAGGAACTGCCGATGCTGGAGAATCTGAGATAACAAGGTGTAGAGCTGGATGAACACGGCAGGCCAAGCAGTACCAGAGGAGCAGGAAAACTGACGTTTCCGGCCTAGACCCTTCTTCAGAAATGGGGGAGGGGAACGGGATTCTGAAATAAATAGGGAGAGAGGGGGAGGCGGATAGAAGATGGATAAAGGAGAAGATAGGTGGAGAGGAGACAGACAGGTCAAAGAGGCGGGGGTGGAGCCAGTAAAGGTGAGTGTAGGTGGGGAGTTAGGGAGGGGATAGGTCAGTCCAGGGAGGATGGACAGGTCAAGGAGGCGGGATGAGGTTAGTGGGTTGGAGATGGGGGTGGGGCTTGAGGTGGGAGGAATGGTTAGGGAGGCGGGGACGAGCTGGGCTGGTTTTGGGATGTGGTAGGGGGAGGGGAGATTTTGAAGCTTGTGAAGTCCACATTGATACCCTTGGGCTGCAGGGTTCCCAAGTGAAATATGAGATGCTGTTCCTGCAGCTTTCGGGTGGCATCATCGTGGCAATGCAGGAGGCCCAGGATGGACATGTCGTCTGAGGAATGGGAGGGGGAATTGAAATGGTTCGTGACTGGGAGGTGTAGTTGTTTGTTGCGAACCTCCTGCAATGCCACAATGATGCCACCCGAAAGCTGTAGGAACAGCACCTCATATTTCGCTTGGGAACTCTGCAGCCCAATGGTATCAATGTGGACTTCACAAGCTTCAAAATCTCCCCTCCCCCTACCACATCCCAAAACCAGCCCAGCTTGTCCCTGCCTCCCTAACCGGTCCTTCCTCCCACCTATCCCCTCCTCCCACCTCAAGCCCCACCCCCATCTCCTACCCACTAACCTCATCCCGCCTCCTTGACCTGTCCCTCCTCCCTGGACCGACCTATCCCCTCCCTACCTCCCCACCTACATTCACCTTTACTGGCTCCAACCCCGCCCCTTTGATCTGTCTGTCTCCTCTCCATCTATCTTCTCCTTTATCCATCTTCTATCCACCTCCCCCTCTTTCCCTATTTATTTCAGAATCCCCTTCCCCTCCCCCATTTCTTAAGAAGAGTCTTGACCCGAAACATCAGCTTTCCTGCTCCTCTGATGCTGCTTGGCCTGCTGTGTTCATCCAGCTCTATACCTTGTTATCTCACAATACTATCTTGCTCATTTTCCCCTCTCTCTTCATTGTTCTCATCCTCTCCCTGTAGCCCCATTGTACACCTTCCCTGTTGCCTGTTTTCCTTCTCCTTCCTGCCTGCTTACCATTCGATTTGCCTCCAACATCCCCACTCTCTTCATCACTAAAACGAGGGAGAGGGACTGGATTTATAACCAGGAGACTCAGGTTCAAGTCCCACCTGCTCCAGAAGTGTGTATTAACATCGCTGAACAGATTGATTGGAAAATAGGTGAAATTTTTAAAAAAAGAAAAAAATACAAAGCAGACCAAAGAAGGGGCCTTCTTTTGGCACAGTGGTAGTGTCCCTACCCGTGGACTAAGAGGCCCAGGTTCAAGTCCCACCTGCTTCAGAGGTATGTAATAGTATCTCTGAAGGGGTTGATTAGAATAAACAGGCTAAATTTTTAAAAAAAAGCAGACCCACTGGGAGGAAGTGGTGCCCTAGTGCTAATGCCACTGGCTTGGTCATCATTTAGCCCAGGCTAAAAAGGCACTTGAGAGGTAATGCCCATGCCCCTGGACTGGGTGGCCCAGGTTTAAGACCGTCCTGCTTCAGAGGTATTTAATAACATCTAGGAACAGGCTGATTAGAAAAATAGGTTCAATAAAAAAAATCAAAAGGTGCTTGATGAAGTCTCACAAAAGACTTCTCAACAAATTTGAAATCCATGGAATAAAAGGAACTCGTGGCTGTGAGATTGGCTGTGACAGGAAAGAGAGATTGATCATGACTGGGGACTTGTTCAACGGGGTTGCCCAGGGATCAGCTTTGCAACAACTGCTTTTCTCAATCTATACTCATGACATGAACAAGGGTGTGCAGGCTATGTTTTCAAAATTTGCACGTGTCACAAAATTTAGAAACATTGAGAACTGTGAGGAGGATGGCTAGGATCTGGAATACAGTGCCAGAGTGCGGTGGACACAGGACAAATTGAGGATTTTGAGAGGAAATTGGAGTATCCCGTGAAAAGGAAAAATGTGCAGGGTTATGAGGAAAAAGCAGGAGTAGTAGACTATTTTCAAAATCACACCCAGCCTCCAATGCTGACATTTTGCTGTCAAACTTTGATGTAAAGCAATGAACAATTTTCAGCATGTTCCTGCAATTCCACATGAGCTCCTTTGGTTTCCAAGTCCAATCAAGAATTTCAGTGAATTTATTACATCACCTCATGATACCGGTGCCCATCTCGTACATTTTTTTAGGTGGCAAATCTGTTCTAAATCTAATTGCTGTAAACCTTTAGACGTAATACTCTCCGTAATCTCCCTTTCTACTTGGATGGACAGCCAACCTTGTGCTTTTCTTTCTCTCTGTTAACAAGTGTTCGAATGCCATCAATAATTCAGAATTGTCCTTTGCCTGGGTATTAGTGGAGAAAATACTTTATTTGCATTAAACCTAAAGGAATGAACTTGCCCATGTTTTAGAGATAACAAGGTGTAGAGCTGGA